CTTTGTATATGCAAAGTTCAAATAAAATGTAGGGAACATAAACGCGATAAGTCGTGTACAGAAATTTTATGGAATCTAAAATTCAATTTAAATTGTGGTTGTTTGAAGGATTTGCGGTCTGGAAATGAATGTAGAAAGTACCTTTTTATTCTCTAAACTTGATGTCCTATTTTATAAAATTCCACGAGTAAGGAGAACTTGAAAAAAAATGAGCAGTAACTCTGAAATGGAAGTTTTAAAGGCGCTTAGGCTCGCGAGTTTCCCATAAACGACCACCCGTTGCCGCGATAATGAATTAATAATAGGTCCGACCCGATTCTAAACAGCCAGGAAGTGATAAAGTATGAAAAATTAACATTGTACAGCGCGTGACGAACGTTGATCGCGTGGTGATACGGAACCCAGTAAATACAAAACTCCGCTGTTTCAGGTGTACACCCGTGATGGCTTATATCACGAGTACGAACACCATAACCAGGAGAAACGATGCGATGTTTCTAACGAAGAAAAGGAAAATGTCACGTTATCGAACAATTACGTTTCTATTTTTCTAAATTGCTCGCATACATTAGCGAACTCTTAAATGGACCATAAAATGAAAAATAATAACGTACAAACGATTATGGAATTGTCTCTTAAACGAGGTGCTACAAGGATCACTGGCTACGCAATTATTAAATTTACCGTCTTAAAGATCGCATGAGTAACAAGATAAGCAGCGTGACTGAATTAAATACATTGCAACGAAATGTGCAAGTAACCGTTTCGGTGTTACTAAATCAAAATAGCACCTTGTGTCTGCTCGAAATTAATTGCACTCCCGATGAAACACGGCCGAGGGAACAATGTCGTCGATTTTATCGTACAAATTTTAATTGGCTACAAATCACTGTTATCAAACAAACAAAATAATAACACACTATTGCGATCTGATTATTCGTAGTCATTATTCTCACGCTCGAACCTTTACGGCAAAATAATCTGTCGGCCGAGAACAGGCATAATAACGAAATGGACGAAATAAGAAATTTGTCATTTATATTGGCAGATTAAAAAAGGGAGAATGTACTTTGAAACGAAACGCGACGAAAACAGCAAAATGTCCTAATTTTATTTCACGAGTAATGTTTCGTTGTCGGTAATAATCGTAAAAAGGAAAAAGTCTCTTAAACGTCCCCGCGAAATCTGAACAAGGCACCACGCTGCGAATACACGGCCTGCTTTATGACCGTTTCGCCGTGGAAACTAAACTTATTACGCCAAGGGGGGTCGCCGCGTCTTTTCACCCCCTTTCGCCAACCGAAGGAAGAGGGAAGCTTTTTATTAAATCACACGTCTCGCGTGCTTCTCGTCGACCGATTAATTTACCGTGACGCTTTCTTTTGTGGCGTCAGGCCAAATCTATCCATATTTCATGGACTCGACAACCACCTACACGCACCCACCCTCCTCCCCCTTCTCTGTTATCACTTTCGTGACAGACGCATGAGAAACACCGAACGCGAAGGCATGTTTATGATATTTGATGGGGTAACCTCGATCTTTGTGTCATTTGATGGCATTCTTGGTTTTTACCCTTGTTAGGATTTTTCTACAAGCGAGGGATGGAGATTGTTGAAATAATCCAGTATAATTTATTTTCATTGTACGAAAATAAAATATGACAAGTTATGAAACCTCAGTAGTCAATGGCGATATATCAGTAGTCAAGTTCTGAGGGTGTTCATGCACGAGCAAAGACGAACGTGATCGATGAAGCTTCGCAGAAATAATGCGAAAATAATTAATTGACAGTGCCTACGTCAACCAGAATTCCATGACGCACTCCTACATTATCCAGCGTACATTAATAGAATCGTTTATCGACAAAGCCTTTTGTCGAGGTCAAAGAAACACGGACCTCGAGGGGCGGAAGGAGCTCTGGAGTCCTGCAAGGGACGGCTAATTCCACTGTGATCGCATCTGATCGATGTCCTTCCGCAACCCCCGTCGAAAAGTTATTGTCCTCCGTGTTTTTCGAATTTACCTTCGTCTTTCGTAACCTCTACCAAATGCTTATTCGAGTTTCCCTATTGTTTCTTCGCTAACAATAATTTCTAATAACTTGATAATTTTAACGCAAGCGTTCTTTCGTCGTTCTATCTCTTAACGAAGCAAATATTTCGATAATTCTTAATAGCTTTAATATCGAGAAAAAAATTGTCAGAGTCTTGCTTTTGATGTTACAGTACTTCTATTACACAACTGTGCCGATTACGAACGATACAATTTCAAATTCCAAGATTTGATCCGTCAAATTTCTCTCGGCAATTTATGAGAATCTTGGTCGTAGCAAGGAACAAAGAAAAGGAACAATCAAAAGAAAAAACAATTGAACGGTGTTCCAGAAGCAGCCAGATCGAAAGTCCCGATTCCACGACTTTAAGGAAAACCATGAAATCCGGACAAAACATATGCATCCCGTAGGAGCTGGCACGAGCACATACGGACAGTTTCCTCGGTCCCCAGCCAGCATGATTCTTTTATTTTACTTTCAGCCGTACTCCTGGACACGACGTACTCGATTCTGCCTCTCCCTCTCCAGCCACCCTCCTTGGCCGTGTCTACGTCGTGGAAACAACGGGTGGAGAGAAAAGTCTCGAGAAAGAGGAACGGAAACGAAGAAAAGGAGCCGGACCGTGCCAGCCGGACGAGGAAGGACGCATATGGTGTCTTCCACCCCCGAAACTTTTTCGCCGTTCGTACACGAACAGGGGGTGGCTATCTTGCCTATCCCCCCTCAACTCTGACCCTTTTATCTTATCTCACGGCCGATAGATAAGCACCGACGATAAAGCTGCCGGACGAAATGAAGGCACCCGTTGGCGTGGATGCAGTCGCCATTCCTTAATTAAGTCCGGACGACCGTTTGTTCGGTTTATTGGCTTGTTTGCCGCGTGCTTTTCCCTTCGCTGACGAAGATTCGCCGGCCCGGAATATGTTGCTCGTTCCTACGTTACGCCATTTATGGAATTATTTCTTCGTCCTGTGTCTCTACGTATTCCTGGCTTCTCGTATTCCTTTTATTTTATATCTCGCTCCTTCTTTTCCCACCGAGACCTTGCCGTTTCACAAATATTCCACGTTGGAATAATGAGGAATTATGCGCATTATGATGGAAAGTCATGTCGCTCACGTCGAATCGACTTGAAAAAAACACGACTCCCCGGAGTTTGAATGGTAGAGAGGCTTCGATGTTTCGAGACACTGCAAGGTGACCGCGATTGCTCTTCCTCTTGAATAAAACAGGGGGTAACATGGTGGTTGATAAACGAGCACGTAACAGATTTAAATACAAGGGTCATTCGATATGTAAAGAAGCAAGTGACTATTGTTTCAATATGGTTCGTGCAATAAACGTCGTAATTTTTCCATGTTTCATCATAAATTCTTGCAATTTTCGACCGCAAGAGGCTACCGAAACGTTTACGGCGTCAAGGCACATTCTGGTAACCTTCGAGAATTATTACGCATTTCGATGGTCGTTTAACGTTTACCAGGACGAATAAACACGAAATTGGAGGGGTAAAGGGCGTAGAGGAGAACGGTAAACGAGATACGAGATAGAGAGCAAAGGGGAAGGTGGTGGAAGAGGGAGAGCCAGGGAGAGACGGGGAGAGCAGAGAAGAAGACCCCATTACGTATTCCACCGGCATCCCTCTTGATCTCCCCGCATTTTTATTGCACTTGCCGCCAGTAAGAATATGTTTTATTTATATTTCATATTTCTCTCTCTCTGCTCGGCTTCGTGACCACGAGAAAGCTTGATTCCCCGGATTCGCACAGGGTGACCACGGGATACCGCAGAAAGATCCAGAAGGGGGATCTCTGCTGTCCTTTCGTCATTTTCCCCCTCCTCGTTTCCCGTGCCCCGTAATTTCGTCACCGCGATCAGAAATATTTCTGACCAAGGTCTTTGTCGAAGGCGTTCCGACCAAGGGAGAGCGCAATTGACCCATATCATTCGATAGGATCACGCGACAACCCCTCGACATCGAGTTTTAACCGATTAATTGAACACCGTGAAACCGTGGTGGTCGCGTTAATTTATGGAAGTGCCGACGTTGTTATTACACCGATCGCTTTATTTACCGTTTTCGCAAACACGGAGGGGTCATTGTTGAAAAACACCGAGACAAATTGGAAATTCGTACGAGGTTCAAAGCACGCAACTTTTGACGAGTACATTTTCTGCCGAGAAAATGGGAAAGGGTTAAGTTCGCGTTAAGAATTATGGGCGATCGACGACGCATGAAACCGGTCGGATGCTTTGTGACTTTTCACGAGGGTGTTACACGCAATTTGCCACATTTCCTAGTAACAACTTCCTCGAACCCTTCGACGTATTTTATGGATATCACACAGGCTGTGCATAACTTACAGTCCAGTGGCTGAACGTACGGACAACGCGATTCCTCGTCGGGTGTAAAACGACGAGACATCGGGAAAAGCATGAAGTGAATCACGTTTCGCGATCGTAAAGACGAGCTATCAGAAACTAAAGATGCACAATGTGCTATTTTACGAAAGAATTCCTCGCCGTTCAGCACTTCGATTTCGAACTAATGCAAGCGTTTCACGAGAAAAGGCAGAGTTTTTGTAAAAACTAATCGAGGCAGCATCGTTCGAAGGAATATTCCTGTCTCGCAGCGTGTTATCATTAAGATATCCATCATAACCGTGTGAAAACGCAAGAACTCCTGGTCGAGGATCGTTCGGTACAGGTACGTGAGCTGAAAATGCTCGACGGGCTGAGTAATTTCATTGCATATACGTGACGGGCTCCTCGTAACATCCTACGCGGTTGGCAATATGGAAACACGAACGCATACACGCGCGAAACCGTACTCTATCTCTGTGGCGTGGGAATTTCGGATAATTTGATAAGGATTCATGTCAGCGCGAGATGCTACTCCGTAGGTCGAGTGAAATTCCTTATTCAAGTCGCACGCGAGCCGGATGGCTTTTAAATTCCGTGGCCCCCTTTGATGGGGGCCGCTTTCGAAATCCGCCACAACAGCCACGTAAATCAGAAGTTTGATACGTTGGACCGACCGAGAAGTATAAATCACGCGAGAAAATCATATTCCTCCCCACTGTCCGGAACGAATCTTCTTTATGAAGGTCACCGAACAACGTCAGAATTAAGACTGTGGGACTCTGCGGTTCAACTGTCTAATCCTGTTCGCTTCAAAAATTATGTTTCCTTGCTTGGATCTGCGTAGAATACTGTATCGTATATGTAACCGTTTTTAAACAGCGAGATCATCACGAGAAAAAGCGGTAAAAGATGATTCAGGTACTTGTTTCGTTGCAATTTTGTATTTGGTGATGTACAACTTTTGAGATTTACGAATTGAAGAGTTATTTCGAAACGTATTAAAACGGTATTCAAATTTTTCGCGTAGAAGATTTCCAAATGCGCGCATGTACCGCTAAAATCATATGACTGTTTGAAAACTTGATTTCTATCAATTGTTTACGAAAGTTCTTGATACCTTATCTTGATTATTTATTCGTATAATGCATATGGTTTGAGTACGGAGCAACGCATAAAAGATTGTAATAAAAATTTAGTTTAAATAGAACGTTAGATTGTAGGTTGTCAGTCATTATCGAAATGCATGCCAATATGGTTGAAAACGCGGGAAACGCACGTGTTCCGTACAAAACAACTGTCAACTATTGTTGTCTTTTTAATTAATATTGATCGATGCTTATAATTGGTGTAATTTGTGCAGTGATTGGATTTGTTGTCTATACTGGCATTAAACTAAAAGTTAACGAGTGGTTGTACGAATCTAGGTACGTAATATTACGTATAACAGCAAAGAAATGTAAGGTTATGTAGGGTGTTATGTTTGTAAACCATATTTTGATGTTCTTTTTATGTTACATTTAAAGGTTTTGATTGAAAAATGTAAATCTTTTTATGATACATATATTTTATTTACAACTTTACGTTGAAACACATTCCAATTTATTATTAAGAGATTCCAACTTGTATGTATGTATTTATAGAATGAGTAAATTGAGTTTGAAGAAGTATCGAGCGAAGAATAAAAGATCACAGTTTGAAAATATATTGCCAAACAATGTCATTGAAATAACAGATGATGAGAGCGATACGGCAGATGAATCTAGGAAGGACGTTGAATCCATAACCGCGTCATCTTCTAATCAAAATTATGATGAAGAGACTCTGTATAAGTTTCAAAAATCTACAGACAGTGGAGAGTCTGACGAGGATGAGCAAGGCTCAATATTTGAGTCTACGTCAAATCCACGGGCAAAAACTTCAATGTTTGATTGGAATTACAAGAACTCTCGTCCAAATAAAAATATTAAAGCAGTAAAAGATGATTCTTGTTCCTCTGATGAATCTACTTCCTTTGATTCAAAAGGGTATCATTCTAAGCAAGTGAAAAAAAAGATTAAAAATGATCATAAAACAAATAAAGAACCAGAATCTAAGAAAGATGATCCACCGGAAGTGGCAATGCAGTACGAGCAAGTAATATCAGGGATCAAGGTGAAATTTCCTGCCAAGCCTTACTCCTGCCAAATGGCAGTAATGAACAAGGTGAGAAATTGTATTAAATCTTTTTCTACCATAGCACAGTAGTTACAATTGTTATAGTATTAATAAATTTGATATTGATTATGTTCACAGGTTATACAAGGTTGTGTGAAGAGCGAGAACTGTCTTTTGGAAAGTCCAACAGGTACAGGAAAGACTTTAGCTCTTCTATGCAGTGTTTTGGCATGGCACGATCATCATAGTGGTAAGTTAATAATTATTGCTAGTAGAAGAATACTTTTTAAAAAATGTTCAGTTTTCTTCTACTTGTACCTTGTCTGTTTAGTCATTAGTTTATGATGTGTTCTGTTTAGTTTTGTCTAAGTTTCCGCGAACCAATCTCGCGTCTTCCTTTCGCAAAATTTTCGGCCGTCCCGCGAATTTTCAGAATCTTAATGCGCCGTCTCTTGTATACGATCGTTATCATGTTTAGTTCATTAAAATTCCGTCAAATTGGTTGACGTTCGCTCGTCAGAAGTTTTGAAGGACTTGCAAACAATTTCTTAACGCGTCCGTTAAGATGCAGAGCGTCTATGTATATAAATAACAATATTGATAAATAAAAGTTGCTTAAAGAAACTAATTTAAACTGTACGGATCGACATATGTTTTTTACGAATATTTATTACGAATAGCGAGTAGCTTCAATTTATAGCAGTACCGTGATTTCGTGAGATAAGACAGTAGTGTGCGTTAAGATGCTTCGTGCGTTAAGTACGAAGCGTGTAATCAAGAACTTTCGGTATCACGAGAAAGGACATTAAAGAAGTTTAAGAAGAGAACACGGTAAATCGGCTGACAGGCATTCTCGACCGTCGTATTAATTTAAATTATTCAACCGTGTGCATGCCGCTAATTGTTCGCGATTCGCGCAATTAGAATCGAGAATGGGGCTCGCGAATTGCTCGGTACCAGTTCGCGAAAGGACGATACCTGTTTTCGACGAACGTCGCGTAATTTCGCAACCCTAACTCGCGTTATTATTTCGCATTTGCATAATCGTGTCCTTCGTTGCTTTACCGTCTGGTAGCTTCCAGACCGGAGAAAATATTGCAGCTAAACGCTATATCGATGGCTTCTTTTTTATTTCACGTTCAGGACAAATTTCTTTTCGTTATTAGAATCTTTGAAATCTTAGTACATTACGTGCCGTGACGATTTCTGAAGATATCGAATTCGAAAGGAAATTTTTGTACAGTAAGACGTAGTGTTGTTTCGGAATCACGAATGAATTCTTTACGCTTTCCTCGTCCACTTTTTTTCGTGACATCGTGAATTTTGAAATATCGAACACGAACTCCCTTTCATTCGAGGAGTCGTACATGTTCCCTCTCGTCGCGAAAGGAAATCCTGGGATTAATTGCTACCTTTCTGCTAACGTATCACTGCTGCTAACAGTCCGTGTTCCACGCTCCCAAGGAAAAACAGGTGAGGCGATGATGTTACAGGTGAGTTAAAAATCCAAAAATTTACTTTACTGTTATACAAGTTTAGAAATATAAATATTTGGGAAGTTGAGATCGAATAGGGCGTCCAGCACTTAGTAGAAGCCTAAGTTGCAACCGAGCGCGCGTCGCACGACATTGTTCTTTTCTTTCCAGTTATAATTCGCTTGATACTTTCGAAAGCTGTCGGTGTCACGCTCTGCTCGTGGCTCGAGTGGTACTGCTAGCCACCGAAACTTCTGAATTCGTGCACCTGAAGAGCAGAAATAAATTCAAGTTCTCGAGAATCGGTTGAAAATCTCGAGGTTCCTTAACTTAATCGATAACTCCGCGAGTTGACCATCCACGAGAAAAACCAACTCGTCCAAATTAGGACACGGTTTCGCAAACCTTGAAATCCTTTCCTATGCGATTATTATAAAGTCCGTTGTCTAGTACCTTGAAGCGCATTATTATTCGATGGAACTTTTTCTCGGTTCGAGGACAATGTTGATTGCAATTAAGTACGATGTCGGAGAAAGTCGATTATAAAACAGCATAAAGATTCGTGGAAGATTTCGAGAATTAAGACTAAATTATGATCGCGGGACACGTAGTTCGGAGTTGGCAAAATCTGAAGTTTGATTTATGAATTCGAGGGGAGAATGTTAATCAGCACTGCTCCGGAAATTTTGCCAAGATCCATTAAAAAGTAAAAACTATTTCTCGCGTCAGGAAAACTGATTAAATCCGTATCGAAGTTTTAATATTTAAAATTGTAATGCCGAGAGCGTAAATCGCCAGAAAAGTGTCGGAAGAATGGTAAAACGGTCATGACTAGGTTGCCAAAAGACAGCTTGTAAGAAGGAAGTTCTCGTGATGCTTCAAACTACGTTACTTTTTTCTCGATGATTTACGATCGCGTTGAGTTTATGGACGATTAATCTCGGATCTCTGAAAAGCGCACACAATTACCAAAGAATCCACAAAACGAAATCGAGGTGATGCGTCACGAGAGGGGTTTCGAAGGAATATAAATTTCGAAAGTTTATCGTGGAATCGCATGTCGGCTAATGTCACTTTATTATGGCCGGCGAAAGAGTACGTCGTTGTCGACGTGGAGGCAGCTTCGTCTCGACCAACGAAAACGAAGTTCGAAATAGGCAATGGTCTAAGAAGGAGGTCCTATTGTGAGAACAAGAAAACTTGGCAAGTCATAATAATTATCGGCGAACGTGGAATTATATATTGTGTCCCGACCTCGTCGTCGACGTGAATCGTCTTTGCGCCTCAGCATGCAACTACTTGGCGAAATATGCAGCTCTACGTGCTCTTCTGTGACGGTCTGACATTAATAACGCGACCTAGGTCCTGGGTCTTTTGTGCGATCGAGGTACCAACCGTGGTACCATCGTCGAGCACCATTCCCAGAAACACTAATCGCTCTTGTACCGGGCTTTAGTTGCTCTCTAGTCTCGTTTGATCGTCTATTTCGCTCTTTGCGCTGTATACACCGTTGTTGCAGATCATTCACCGCATCATATTTTCAACCGACAATTAGGAATTTTTAACTTCTAGACTCTTAACTTAATCGACGACGATGATCTCGGTAATTTAAGTTTTCTCGAAACGCAGAATCCAGCGAAGAAATCGGTTTCGACGTAACGTTTCGGTCGGTTTCCATGCGATTCGCGAAAGGAAGCAGCGTTTGCGCGCTCTGCTAGAAGCTGAAGAGAGACTACAGAGAAAGAAAGAAAGAAAGAAAGATAGGAAGAAAGGAAAGGGAGAACGGTAGTTGAGGAATGGTGCAGGGCTACCCGCAGAGCACGCTACTTGCCGTGGCAGCTTCACGAACGAAAGACAAAGGAGGGCCCACGCTTTCATCCGTGCCGACATTAAGGTACCTACCGTATACGCTCTTTTGGGACACAATAAGGTCCGCATGCGGGTCCAACGGATCTCACGTCTTCTACGTACGCATACGGCTTTCTTCACAATGAGAATCCTTCTCTTTCTACCCGATCTCACCCTTCCTTCTTTCTCTTTACTCGCTCTCCTTCCACGCTCTCTCTGTTCTTGTCTCGTTTTCGATCTCCGTTTCGTTTGTTGCCCTCCTTTCGATTTTCTCCACTCTTTTGCGTCTTCTTTCGTCTCTCGATTTTCTTTCGTCCTTTGCTTCTCGACCTCCTATCGTTCGCTTTGGAACGCGGTTACCTCCTTTGGGTTATTCGACTTCCAGCTCGATCCGCGAGCATCATTTCTATCAGCAATTTTCCGGGTTCTAAGGTTTCACCGCGAAAGGAAAATCGGAATCACGAAGTTCGCGGTAATAAAGCGGGAACGGGGCAATATAATTGATCGCGTGGCTAACGAGACCAATTATTTACAACGAGCTCAAGATAGGAAATAGCGGTTCACGTGAAAAAATAATGCTGCGACTAATCGTTATTCCATTTACTTAAAGGACAGAGCACGTTACTTCTCTTCGAGACCTGTTATCGTTGCTTGCTGCTTCTCTGATCGATCGCATCCTATTTTAAAGAAACGATTCTCGATTATGGAGTGCTCTTATTCGCTGGATTCTAACGATTCGACGATTCTAATTCGAATCGACTTTTCAAACATCGTATTAACAATATGTTAATGCCATTGACACGTCTGTTATCGCGAGGATAAAATCAGGAATTTGTGGATCCAAGATTTTGGAGCTTTTAGTTATTCGATCGTGAATGGTTCCCACGTAATTGTCCGTTCGTTATCTTCCGTTAGCAATTACCAAGAGTTCGATCCTTTAATTTCACAGTTATTTGGATTATACCTGATCGTATCACGTTTACAATTAACTCGTTCATTTAGTCCATCTTGATGCGCCGTGGAAAAAAAGGCAGGTCGGAAGAAAGGGTAGAGCGGATAGAGCAAGAGGAGGGTTATGCAAGAGTGTACGTAGCTATTGATCGATAATAGGATGCAGAATCCTCGCGAAAGAGAGAGCAAAAGGTCCGTGGACAGGTCTTGCCAGTCCCGGATGGTCCCAAGTAGACGCGGAAGATAAGGGACCCCCCAAAGGTATGGCGTGCGCCGCCGGTTTCCAACCAGTCCTGAACTCCTCTCTCGGGTGGTCCCCAACGTTCTCGGGCCCCTCTGTACCCCTTCTTTTATACGTCTCCCCTCTCTTCATCTTTTCCGCGCTCTTCTTTCTCTCCTTTGCTCGATCGTTCGTCCTTCGACGACGATTCGTCGGTTTCCGCGGTCTGCTTTCTGCTCTTTCCGGTTCGTCTTTGACTCCACCTCTGTTACGGCTTCTGCTTCCTCCAGTTTTCATGTATAAATTATGTACTGGCTGCTTGGAAGCCATGTGTGTGTTCACAAATAAAATATTGATAAAACAATTATATCGCAATAAAGTATTACGTCGCGTTAATTTAATTAACATAAATGGATTGATACAAAAACGATTGATCACGAATGAACTAGGGATAGGAAATGGAAGTAGTAAGAAAGTACAAAAACACATGGACAAAAATAAAATGCGATATTTAATTTTTGTATCGACTCAGTGGACGTGTGCAGAGGACTCGATCGACCAGCGATTGTGCGCTGTGCTCGGTCGTCTGGTTGTCGAGATACGCTAGAATCACCCTCTCTTTCCGAGAAAGGATTCGCGACTCAAAAAGTACCGCCACTGCGGATTCCAGACCTAACCCGCGATCTTACATAATTCTACACGCCCTGGAAGATCGCCTGAGCGTCCAGGAATCGCTCGTTCCAGGATTTCTAAGGG